CTAGGAGGCACAGTTTATATGGATAGTTTTTATTTTTTACAACAACAGCTGCAATGAAAACAAGCAGAGATGAAATAAAAGGAACAACTTTATACTTCTTGTCTTTTTTTAAATGTAAGAAGTAAAAAAGTACAGATAACAGTGTTAAAGTGTAAGAAGTAGAAGTAAAAAGTACACTGAAAAATAATTGCTCAAGTAAAGTACAGATACTCAAAAATTCTACTTAAGTACAGTAACAAAGTATTTGTACTCAGTTACTGTACAGCTCTGGTTGTTCCTGATAGTTTCACTGATGTGGTCCAGGTGTTTGAGATATTTTGCTAACACCACAGGTAAGAAACAAGCTTTGGTCAGTGGTTGATAAAAAGTTACAACTGTTTAAATTATTTTTGGGGGTTGTGTTAACCTTGTGGTGTGTGTGTGATGGTCTTGTAAATGCTGAGGCTGCAGGTTGTGTGTCTGTCAGGTGCTGACTGAAGGATGTCGTTCAGTTTGAACACAGGACTGGAAACACTGGAGAATCAGAACTTTGCTGAGGTTCTGCTTGTTTCTGTCTGATGCTGGGAAACGCTGACATGCTGCTTGTGTTTGAGGACAGTGTGTGACACGCACTTATTGTGAGTGTGTACGACAACTCATCACTGTGACACAACAATTCTGCTCGTTTCTGTCTTCTCTCGTTTGCATGAAGGAATGTCTTTGTTGTCCTTCCATGTCTAACTGGACTGTAAAACCATGTTGTGATGGTCCTTCAGGGTCACCAGCAGAGGGAGGGGCCTGTGATTGCTCACGTGGCCGTCAGGGAAGAGAGTTGTAAAGACGTTTTGTTTAAAGCTCCTCCTCTGCCTCCTTTTTATGCTGAGCCTGTGCATTTCTCCTCTCACAGGAGTCTGTTTGTGAGTCTGTTTGTGAGTCTGTTTGTGTTTTATTTTGGACCTTCACAGAGAAACTGCTTTGCCAACCTGTGCACATATATGTGTATCTGTACAGACCACTGCCACAAAGCTGGGGAGGTTCATGATGATACCAGTTGATACCAGTTGTGAGCCAGCCTGGCCCTTGCATTCCTACACAGCTCTGCCCAATTCTAGTTTCACTTCACTGGGGGTTTTGGGACTTCTCCCATTAACAAGGATTTCACTGGCAGATTTTTTGCCGGACCAATCAGAGAACAGAAGGAGGAGTTTTGAATGACGTCGATGTTCTGCTCAGTGTCTGCTAGTTATTTTAGCATACGGCAGTGGAGGAAGTGAATGAAGCCAGTCTGTGTTGATAAGACTTCAAATTAAATTAAATTAGTCTGACAAAGCAGCAGCTCTCATTTACAGTCGTCTCGTTCGACTCGGTACATTTCTCCTTTCAGTAGGTTTGTTTACAGCACACGTGATTTCTGTTAGCTTCTTAGCTTAGCCTCCATCACAGAGACATACGTCGCAGCCAACTGATACGATCATTTTAAACTTCAGCAGAGGCCACGCCTCCTGGAAGAACCACTTCTCTATGCATCAAGTCCTGGGGTCGGATTTATAAAACTGGCGTACGCACAATTTGAGCCCAGAAACTTGCGTACGCCACTTTTTACGCCAAGGTTGTGATTAATAAAATCCAAACTTGATGTGAAAATGTGAGGTGCCTCACAGCTCTGACCCTCACAGCTCTGACCCATGTGTACGCTCATTTTGGAGACAGGAAACTGCGACACAGATGGTGAAGTGAGGAATTAGAGCCACACTGTGTGATGATCACTGTCAGAGATTTAATTTACCTTCATCAGACTTAAATAAAAGTTCCCGTGCGCAACTCCATTCATCTGCTTCCTCCTCAGACAACCCTGACCCACAGACCCCTCCCTGACCCGAAAAGCAGGACAGCAATAGCTTTGTGTATCCAGTCCGTGTTTGTCACGCGCGCGCGGGG